CGCTCTCATTTACCATGGCAACAAAAAGAATAAAATACGTAGGAATAAACCTACCTGGGGAAACAAAAGACCTGTATGCAGGAAACTATAAGACACTGATGAAAGAAATTAAAGATGATAAAAACAGATGGAGAGATATACCATGTCCTCATATTGAAAGAAACAATATTGCGAAAATGATTATACTACCCAAAGCAATCTATAGACTCAATGCAATCCTTATCAAATTACCAATGACATTTTTTACAGAACTAGAACAAAAAAAATCTTAAAATTTATATGGAGACACAAAAGACCCTGAAGAGCCAAAGCAGTCTTGAGGGAAAAAAAAGGAGCTGGAGGAATCAGACTCCTTGAGTTCAGAATATACTACAAAGCTACAGTAATCAAGACAGTATGGTACTGGCACAAAAACAGAAATATAGCTCAATGGAACAGGATATAGAAAGCTCAGAGATAAACCCACGTGCCTATGGTCAAGTAATCTTTGACAAAGGAGGCAAGAATATACAATGGAGAAAAGGCAGTCTCTTCAATAAGTGGTGCTGGGAAAACTGGAGAGCTACATGTAAAAGAAGAAAATTAGAACACTCCCTAACACCATACACAAAAATAAACTCAGGATGGATTAGAGACCTAAATGTAAGACTGCACACTATAAAACTCTTAGAGGAAAACATAGGCAGAATACTCTTTGACATAAATCACAGCAAGATCTTTTTTTGATCCACCTCCTAGAGTAATGGAAATAAAACCAAAAATCAACAAATGGGACCTAATGAAACTTAAAAGCTTTTACAAAGCAAAGGAAACTACAAGCAAGAGAAGAAGACAACCCTCAGAATGGGAAAATAATTGCAAACAAATCAATGGACAAAGGATTAATCTCCAAAATTTATAAACAGCTCATGCAGCTCAATATTAAAAAAGCAATCAACCCAATCGAAAAATGGGCAGAAGACCTAAATAGACATTTCTCCAAAGAAGCCATACAGATGGCCAAGAAACACATGAAAAGCTGCTCAACCTCACAAATTATTAGAGAAATACAAATCAAAACTACAATGAGGTATCACCCCACAACAGTTAGAATGGGCATCATCAGAAAATCTACTAACAACGAACGCTGGAGAGGATATGGAGAAAAGGGAACCCTCTTGCACTGTTGGTGGGAATGTAAATTCATACAGCCACTATGGAGAACAGTATGGAGGTTCTTTAAAAAACTAAAAATAGAATTTCCATATGACCCAGCAATCCCACTACTGGGCATATACCCAGAGAAAAACATAATTCAAAAAGACACATGCACCCCACTGTTCATTGCAGCACTATTTACAATAGCCAGGTCATGGAAGCAACCTAAATGTCCATCGACAGATGAATGGATAAAGAAGATGTGGTACATATATACAATGGAATATTAGCCATAAAAAGGAATGAAATTTAGTCATTTGTAGAGATGTGGATGGATCTAGAGACTGTCATACAGAGTGAAGTAAGTCAGAAGGAGAAAAACATTTTTCGTATATTAACGCATATATGTGGAACCTAGAAAAATGCTACAGATGAACCGGTTTCCAGGGCAGAAATAGAGACACAGATGTAGAGAAGAAACGTATGGACACCAGTGGGGGAAAGTGGAGGGGTCAGGTGTGGTGGTGTGATGAATTGAGAGATTGGGATTGACATATATACACTAATATGTATACAGTGGATAACTAATAACAACCTGCTGTATAAGAAAAAAAAATAGTAGCAATTAGCCATGCTACTACGAAAAATATATATATGTATATGGCACTGTCTATGAAGTATTCTTGACAGGGAGTGGAAAAGTGAGCCTAAATCTAATAAAAAATTAAAAATAAAAAAAAAAAGGAAAATAGTGTTGATTAGTAAGCATGCTCAGAGAAGGGATTTTTAAATCTCAATCTAGAAGCAGTAGCATCATGCTTATCAACTTTAAGTTTTCTTTGTTCCTTTCTCCTTTACCTTCCATATGTAACTCTAGGAATAACAAGAGGCATATCCAAAATTCCCTCTAGCAGGGGACCTAGGGAGGGACATAACTATATAAACGTATTTCATACAATTTTAATCACTATTTCCAAATAAACTTTTAAGAGTTTCTTTAACAGACCTTGATCTTACAGGAAGAAAAGGACCAAAATTTGCTCTTTCCACACACTTCAGTAAACAAAAACCTCTTCTACATCAATAAAGAAATGGGATTAATCCTGCCAGTTATCTCACTGTTGGAAAACATGTATTGAGAACTTATTAAATGCAGGCCAAATTATTAAACTCAGACTTTATCTTTAGGGGCTTCGTCTCTAATTAGGATATACCTCGATTTATTAGAAATAATTAAGTAAAAATTAAATGACTACTAATTTTAGAAACACAAAAGTCATTTTCACTTTTGTAAAATGGAAGAAATAATATTAATCCACCTGACCAATAAATGTTGACAATCAGTTATATTATACATAAGGTGCTTTGTGAAGGTAGAATAATATTAGAAATCATAATAAAGTTTCACTTTTATTTGCCAATATTTTTGTCACTTTTACTGAAGAAAATTGTCTTGATATTTTTCCTAATAATGTAGACATTTTATTTTTTAATTTTTAGAGAACAGAAATTGATAAAATAGACTTAAATTTGATGGGTTCTTTAGAAAAATCATTATCAGGATTACAGTTATTAGAATTGCTTTGAATATATTTAAGCAGCTTAGATTAAGATTCTATTACATGACTGGTAATGCACATGAAATTATCTTAAAAGTGATTGTGCCCTATGTAAATGCCACAATTTTATAAAATACTTCTATGTAGATGTTAAAATGTGGCCAGACATGCTCACCTAGACGCGAGCACACATCTGACATAAACTGACTTGATGGTTCTCCAGGACTGGAGTTCCAGTTCCTACACCTGCTCCCACACATCCACCCACCTCTATTGGACGAGGGCCTGGTTAAACAGATGGGTCTTGTGCTGTGCTCTCAAAAGAGGCAGCCTCCACCTTTACTGAGCAAAGCATTGGGTGAAAATAGGTTATATTGTGTTATTGTGATTCTGGGCACGATAATTTGCATGTAAAGCTACTGTTTATTGCTGTTGTTGTTTGTTGTTGGAAATACATTTTTCTTTATGAATGAATATGTATAAATTGGAGGACAACAGATGGAGTTTCTGGGATCTGGAAAACCTATAGACAGGGAAGGAGTTCTCAGTCAAATATAAAAATAAAAAATCGGCAGGAGTGTGAAATGCCATGCAGTTTTATAAATGCATGTAGCTAAGATTTTTAAGAAAATGTTTGGGTTTGCCAAGAGACATCATGAAATTTCTCCCATCCACTAAAGGGTATGGAACCAAGATAGAATTCATAACATCTTTCCTCATTCCCCTTCAGCAAGTTACCACTTCAGCAGTTACAAAGTTTGATTTGGGGCAGGGCATTAAGTCCTGGATACGATCTATGTAAATACTACACATTTTCACTGTGAAGTCAGAAGGATTTGGGGAACCTGAGGTGACAGGGTGGCAGATGCCTTTATAATATCTGAAGTGGGACTTCCCTGGCGGTCTAGTGGTTAACACTGCACGCTTCCACTACAGGAGGCACAGGTTTGATCCATGGTCAGGGAACTAAAATCCCACATGCCATGTGGCGCGACCCAAATAAAGAAAAAAAAAAAAGTTAAAAAAGTAAATAAAATGTAATATCTGAAGCGAATTTTGTTTATGGTTGACTAATGGCATTGCTACGCAGTCCATATTTGTGATGAAAGCACTGCGGGGAAGGCGTGAGCAGCAATTAGATGGCCCTGTACTTGGAAGATCATATGAGACAAGATGTGATGCTCTAAGATTGACATATTGAGAAAACCTTCAAAGGCATTTGTTCTCCACGCATTTTCATCATGTTCTCTTTAGTGTTTCAATAATTAGCAAACCATCACGTATGAATATAGGCATTTATTCTTAAAATGCTCCATTATTTATTGATAGAATCATTAACACTCTGATATTTGCATCTCTTATTATGGCAGTGCGTGGTTTGTGGACATCACAGGAAAATTCAAGTTAAAGATTCCTACTCCTCTTTCTTAAGTGATTTCTTTAATCTTTTGGTAGCTCATGTTTCTCCACAAAGAAAGGGACTTTGATTACTACATACTTTTTTTATGTTGCTGCAGGACTTCTGTTTTCTGGCTTTTGTAGAGACTAGATAAACATAGGCATAAAGTTGCTTAATACTTCAGCAGAAAACTGCAGTGGAACCTTCTGAAAATCTGACCTCTTAAAAAAATCTAAATGGAATAGTCTTATATTTTGCTTATTATTTGACTTCATAATTATATGTGCTAGGTTAATGGATAAATGGGTAAGAAATGACACATCATTGTTTTACAAAAATATTTAAAATTTATTTCTTTCTCTCAAACAAAAAAATTAATGTAAAAATGAATAAATCTGTCACTATTTGAGTTCATTCTTATTGTAGAGTGTCTTGAGATAGCTTTATTTGATGGTGTTTAATTTAATTAAAATTATCATTATACTTTCTTGTTACATTGTTCTTTGAAATTGTTGAAATTGCCTAAAAAACATTGTTCTATCTCTAGTTGATAAAATGGAGAAACCAAAAGATTAATTTAGATACAGAATGGAAAAAAAAGGATCACATATGTACTTCATTTTATTAGAAGGAAGCACATTGTAAAAATATTCATTTGAAGAGAAAAAAGAGAAAAATAGTGAAATATTTCCATTTTCATACCATAATAAAACAGTAATAAAGTCTGTCTTTATATGCAAGTACATATTGTAATATATATATATATATATGTGTGTGTGTGTGTGTGTGTGTGAGTGTGTATGTGTATGTACAGCATGATCATTACCAACTTTTCCTGAACTACTCTGGCATATTATATTTTTATATATTATTTAATGTCTTTTATTTTGTTTTCTTTTGAACAGCAAATACCAGTCTTCTTGGAGGTGGAGGTGGTAAGTCCTGAACATCACTTAAAATATATTTTATTACTACACCAACCATAAGATGTTTAGTAAGTTCTGTGATACTTTAAAGAAAATTAATTTTGCTGTAATCATCAACCACGCAAATTATAATCTTAGAAAATTTATAATAGAAATATCTTGGGTTTGCCTAAACGTTATTTTAACTGACTTCAAAATATGCAGAATACTGTTGTTGTTCTCATCAAGCTTTATATTTCTATCTTTGGCATAAACTATAGCAGCAATAAGCTATTGAGGTGAACACACATATAGTAGATGATAGTCACTTTTCAAGTATAGTTGATTTGCAATGTGTTAATTTCTGCTGTGCAGCAAAGTGATTCAGTTCTACACATATATAAATATATATACATTCTTCTTCATATTCTTTTCCATTATAGATTATCACAGGATATCAAATATAGTTCCCTGTGCTACACAGTAGGACCTTGTTGTTTATCAATTCTATATATACTAGTTTGCATCTGCTAAGCCCAAACTCCCAATCCATCCCTCCCTCACACCCCTTTCACCTTGGCAACCACAAGGCTGTTCTCTATATCTTTGAGTGTGTTTCTGTTTTATAGATAAGTTTATTTGTGTCATATTTTAGATTCCACATATAAGTGATATCATATGGTATTTGTCTTTCTCTTTCTGACTTACTCACTTAGTATGCTTATCTCTGGGTCCATCCATGTTGCTGTGAATGGCATTATTTCATTCTTTTTTATGGCTGAGTAATATTCCATTGTGTATATACACCACATCTTCTTTATCCATTCATCTGTTGATGGACATTTAGGTTGTATCCATGTCTTGGCTATTGTGAATAGTGCTGCTATGTACATAGGGGTGCATGTATCTTTTTGAATTAGAGTTTTGTCCAGATATATGCCTAGGAGTTGAATTGCTGGATCATATGGCAACTCTATTTTTAGATTTTTGAGGAACCTCCATACTGTTTTCAATAGTGGCTGCATGATAGAGTCACTTTTAATATGAATTTTAAAACAATACATCTGGAGACTTGTGGTTTTTATCTTTTTTTTTTTCATAATAATGACTAAAATCATTATGACTTTGTAGCCTGAGAGCTTAATATATCAGTGACTTACTGTGAAAAATAAAAAAAGAAATTGGTAATGGCATTTTGCTTTTTCTTTCTTCCTTTTCAGAGGAGAGAGAGAAAGAGATCAAGTGAGATGAGGAAGAGAGAGATTTCTGTACTAGGAATTCTTTTTTGATACTAAAATCTTGGAACTATTTATTATTTTTATTTCTAGGTTGAAAGATGAAAGTTTACCTAGCCCCAGTCTATGCTACATGGTAGGGGAGGAAAAAAGTATAGAGTAGAATGGGGTCCTTTTCATTTAGGACCCAGATGGACATAAATAGGTTTGTTTTCTCTCTCCCTCTTCCTCTTGCTCCCTCTTTTCATGTATGTGGTTGAAATAGATATGATTGTATATACAGAGCTTTAGGTTTTCAACGAACAAGTTAGAACTTGTTTACTTGATCCCCAACTTTTAAGAAATGTTATCCTTTATAAATCATCATCAGGAGGTTTCAGTTTAAATTTTATTTGAAAATTAAAATTTTAACCATTGTTCCCATATAAGAATCAATAGATTTTTAAAAACAGAATGTTGGAAATAGAAATGATAGAAAATAGTTTAAACTAGAAAGTGCTCTTCATATTACCACATGTCAATGCACATTCTATAGCAGAGTATTTTTCTTCTTCCCCAAATTACTTTAGAAAATATAAATATACAGGGTTTCTCATTGTTCTTCTTCTTCTTCTTTTTGGTATTCTTTGGGAACTAGAAGAGAAATATTCCTTAGGAATGTACTGGATTCCCAATAAATTTTTATCTCTAGGTTTCTTATAATATGTGAAGGAAACATTAAAATAAGTCATTCATAGTGATGATTTTCTTACATGACATATTAGTATTTTAACAAATTTGACTAGTACTGTTAAGTAGGATAAAAAGTTAAAATTGAGTCTAGATATACAAATCTATCAATTTAAAACAGACAAATTAGCTAGATAGTTAATTTATGGTTCTTGGCTATTTAAAAAAAAACTGAATTGACTAATTATATAAGTTAAAATCACTTTAGCTGCCCATAACAGAAACCCCCCAAATAATAGTGACTTAAAGGAGATAGAAAAATGTTTCTGTCCCCTGTGAAAGTAGCTTAGATGTAGACTAGAGTGGCTGTGCAGTAATCCCATCCTGTCATCAAGTGCTCAAGCTCTGGCTTTTCTGCTCTTCCTACTGTGTGGAACTCAGGGTCCACAGAGGCTGCTGGACTCTGGGCATCAAAAATATGGTTGTCAGGAGGAGTAAGAAAGGCAAAAAATCAAAAAGGTGGCCCCTAAAAGACAAGCCAGTTTTCTTTAAGCAGCTTTATCTGATGTCTCATATCCTTGAATTGATCAAATGTTCATTCATGGATAATATAGTTTTATGCCAGGAAGAAATGTGCTCATCAAAAAAAAGCAGTGCTCTGTTTTCTAAGGAAGAAGGGGAGGGTGGAGGTTTGGCAGGCAATGAGCAGTCTCTGCCATTTTGGGGAAGGTAGGCTGCTGTTCAGATACCCTTGTCAAGCTGCTTTGTTTCAATATATGTATACACGGTTGGTGTGTATAGAATTAACGCTAGTGAGTTGGCCTGTATTTCCCTGTGTTTCCTTCAACCTGTGTGTAGATACAGTGTACATTTTTAGCAATGGCAAGACGTTCAGGAATGGGCAAACTCAATGTTCTGTTTACCTGAAGTATATACTTGACTGTCCTCTAGGTGGTTGATTTTGCTAAATGCAGTTATTTGCCATAATTTCTCATTTCTGAATTCTAAAATTAGCAACTCAATATCATCATAAAGATAAATTATAAGTATTTAAGGTGGATGCAATTTCTTTCATTAAAGTAGGTCATTGACAGGTTTAATTCATTTATGCACTTCTGGAGATGTCAAGATTGCTCTAAAATACATGTCTGATTTTTGGAAAGCTGCATTTAAAACTTAAATTTAAGGAATATTTTTAGCCTTCTCTGAACTGATTTTTGGCCTTTTGATTATGTGACAAATCTTATTAATCCTGTCAGTGATATTTGTACAGCAACAGCTAATAATCATCTAATAAGGAGCCTAGAACTGATGCAGTCCTCTTGGATTTGATCAATGATTCCTTTTATTGACTTGAATTAATATACCTTCAAAAACCTCTAAAGGAAATAATTCTTTGATTGACTAAACAATTTGATCAAGAAAATTTGGGACCACATAAAAAAATAATAATAGTATCTTAAGTACCATTTTTTCAGGTTCTCAGGAGGGCTTCCCCCCAGTTCTGTATACGTTGCACTTGAAATTTAGGCAAAAATCAGTCTATACAAAGTTGTATTATCTATAATCTTAGCGTTTTGCTCTTTTTTTTTTTTTTTGGAGTGCTCATGATCAAGACAAGAGATCTCCTAAGAGGAGATTTTAAAAATGGTCACAATCACCCACTCAGTTGTTTGTTTGTTTGTTTGTTTGTTTTTTGCGGTACGCGGGCCTCTCACTGCTGTGGCCTCTCCCGTTGCGGAGCACAGGCTCCGGATGCGCAGGCTCAGCGGCCATGGCTCACGGGCCCAGCCACTCTGCGGCATGTGGGATCTTCCCAGACTGGGGCACGAACCCGTGTCCGCTGCATCTGCAGGCAGACTCTCAACCACTGCGCTACCAGGGAAGCCCACCCACTCAGTTTTAATTTTAAGGTGAGAGAATCATTTCACATAGGTGTGGATTTTCATCTTTGGGCCAGAGGTGACTCTCTTTAGGAACTTAGTGTCACTTAGTGTCATTGTAGTGAGTATAAGTGATAGGGCTTCAACTACCTAGTCATATCAGTTAAAATACTTGGTAAAATGGATCATCTATGTATATATGTCCCAGATATGTTAAGGGCAAATAAATATACTAATATATATATATATATATATATATTTTTTTTTTTTTTTTGCGGTACGCGGGCCTCTCACTGTTGTGGCCTCTCCCGCTGCGGAGTACAGGTTCCGGACGCGCAGGCTCAGGGGCCATGGCTCACGGGCCCAGCCGCTCCGCGGCATGTGGGATCTTCCCAGACCAGGGCACGAACCCGTGTCCCCTGCATTGGCAGGCGGACTCTCAACCACTGCGCCACCAGGGAAGTCCCAAATATACTAATATTTAAGTAAGAATGTGGTTGGTCTATAGTGACTGGATTCTGTCTTTCAGGAAGCCTTTATATAATCTAGGTAATGGTATAACGTCAAAAAACCTTAGAAGTTCTATTAATTTTTAAAAGCTCTCCATCATTGCTCCCAGTACTAACCTGCATAGCAGTATAGCACATTTAGATATAAAACAAGTAAATTTAATTTTCTCATTTAGTCCTTTTCTTAGTCAGGGTAGGCTACATTATGCTATGGTAACAAACCTAAAAATCTTAGTGGTTAAAACAATAAGGTTAATTTCTTGCTCACATCAATGTCGAGTATATTGGTGGCTGTTCTACTCAGGCTCTCCTACAGGTGGTGACACAGAGTCTCAGGTTGCTTCTCTATCTTGTAACTACTCTATGTGGTATGTGGCTCCAGTCACAAAACAGGAAGAGACAGCTGGTGGATCTTGTGGGATGTATTTACAGAGCAGTTCGTGAATGGCTTATGTCACTTCTGCCCACGTTCCATGGGTCAGAATTCAGGCAAGTGACCCCCAACCGAACTACAAGGAAGTCTGGGAAGAATGGAGTCTTCCAGCGTTCCCAGGAAGAGGAAATGGTGTGGTAAATACATAGCACTGTCTCGGCCACAATGCTCAAATGAGATCAGTGTTATTTATTATTATTACTTTAATCACTGAGGGAAATGTGACTTAGGGAGATTTAGTGACTTCTTCAAGGTCACACAGCTTATAAAGTGCAAAGGTCCAGGAAGAAGACAGGGTTCT